AACACGGTTAACACTGACCAGTTACAACATCGTTTCCGTTTGGCATTTCTGGACGGAAGTATCCAGCGATTTCACGCAGCCCCCCCCCCACCTTTCAATCCGTTCGATCTTGGAAATTTCAGTTCCACGCGTTTACAAGGAAACTACTTTTTTCCCCTATTTTCCTCTCCGTTACGACGTAAAGCGAATTAAAGATAGGTTGGGTGGTAATTTTTAGCGCGAGTCTCTCCGAGTAAATTAGCAGCAGAACTAGCGGAGCAGTTGAAACTATCTACGCGTTAAGACGCGCAACGAAGTTATAGAAGTAAGTTATTTGCTCCTCGAGAGTTCGGTCTTAATCGCGTACTTACTTTAGTCGATCACCTTAGCAATTTGTTTCCCCTTATATTTCGCGTCTTCAACGAAACAGAAGTCCAATCCGGGGAATTGAGGGAATTCTTCAACAATTTCGTTTTCGTTTTCTACTCGCGAAGTTATACGCGCGAGAGATATTGTTAGCTGAATGGAAGCAAGATCGGAGAACGACGAGGACTGGGAATCGTATAGAACCGGAGGCTATGAGAACACGTTAACGGCGTTATTAGTCCCATTGCGCGAACAGGAATGACGAAAAGAGGAGGGCGAGGGAGGAAGTATACTGCTCGATGAAATCGAGCTGGATCTTACTCAATCAATCAAACGGAGGCAAATCGAGTCGATGAGAAAGAAAAGAGATACGAAAGAGAGAGAAAGAGCAAAAAACAAGGAAAGATTGAGAGAGGACAAATGGGGAAAAAGAGACGGGAAAAGCCAGGGTGGGCGGAGAAACATCACAAATCAAAGAAGCGGTGACAGTTAATTCATAACTCGCAACCCCGTAGCTCTTTTTTCGAATTCCCTAGCCGCCTTCGCCCCCACCACCCTGTTTTCAATCTGTGCCAACGTCGCCGTGTTGCGTGTGCACCTCGACGAACAAGCTTTTCGCGTTGATACACGCCGTACGAAGAGCGCATTGTTACACTTTTGTTCCACCCCTTCTTTCGCCTCTCTTTCGGGTTTTGTCTTCTTTTTTTTTTTTTTTTTGCATTCCCGCTGTGCTTCGAAGGTTCCATATCACTGGCGTCAAGTCGTGGCTACGAAATGGATAATTTAATTTTGCGGAGCGTTATCGAAGATACGATTCGTAATCGGACGATTAATTGAGAGGAAAATGACGGTGACACGTAATCTGATCTTTTCAACAGATTTCCAATATATTTTTAGGTGTCGTTTCGTATATTAGTCAAGAAATATTCGATCGATTGGTCTTTTGAATCGGATGTATTCCTTTATGTAAGACTAATTTTATTCGATCGCGTCATTTTACCTTTCGTCGTCGTATTTTCACGGTACTGCTTCGTAGACTTGTATTTAGTTAACACTCTTAATACTATTCGAGTAAATAATTATAAGACACTTTTATTAGTCTCAGAGAGACGTGAGTTACATTATAATTGTGAATATTTACATACTTTTGAAAAAGATAATTAAATATACACCAAATTGGGGATTGGAACACGTTCTTGTTCAAGTTCAATTTGTTTAGTTCTATTCATGATACACATAAATTTTTGCGTTCGCTCTGAAACTAAGCAGAATCTTCTTTGTTCCGCGCGTACACGTTGGCTGAAATCCAGCGAAAATGTTTGAAAATAAAAAAAGAAAAAAAAAAAGAACCGGAACTCCAATGGCGGAGGATATTTTTTTCTCTTCCCTTTCAAGCTTTCCTTCAAACATTAATCCTAATGCCCGGTGAATAGGTAATGCAATTTAGCAACTGTCACGGTTGAAATGATGGTGATAAAAGTGGCATAAGTCTGCGGGACACGTGGATCGAAGAGATGACAAGCGGCGTTAAGCGGCGTTGCGCAACGAACAACGAGAACGAATTGCGAAAGCAGTTTTCGTTCTGTATCTGACCGGTCGATCTCGCCGGCTGCAACGTACGTGCACCGAATGGCCGTTCATAACTCATTTACATTAATACGGGGTGAACACGAATGTCTATCCTTTGGATATCATCGTCCCGCGATAAAAACGATGGAAATGAAATATATACCGGTTGAATTTCTCCGACCGTCGCGCATATACATCAACCGGAATCTGCGAATCACCGTGCCGATTGCTTCTCCCGCGAACACCGCAACTTCATTACCGACGTGCATAATCGCCCCCCCCTCCCCCCTCTCTCTCTCTCTCTTCCTCCCTCTCCGCGGCTTTCTACGCCCCTAATGACGTCCCTGGCCTGGTGCGATTAAACGTCGATGGTAATTCAGCGAGCCTCGCGTCTTTTCTTTCTCCCTGTCCTTTCTATCTAATTCTCGCGGATCGTTTCGAAGTTTCGAAGTTTCGTCCGTGTCCGCGAGAATTTCGTCGCGAGAATTCTGCCACTCGAAGGTATATAAGAAAATTCGCGAATAGACGGAGGGCGAATTAAACGGCAAGGAAGAATAGAACCGCGACGAAGAATAAAACGGTGTTTCCATTCTGTCT